GCACCAAGCTGTTCACAGTAAACCACTACACAAGTGAACTTCTGACACTGGTGTGAACGTCAACCTATTACCAGCACCAAGCTGTTCACAATAAACACTACACAAGTGAACTTCTGACACTGGTGTGAACGTCAACCTATTACCAGCACCAAGCTGTTCACAATAAACACTACACAAGTGAACTTCTGACACTGGTGTGAACATCAACCTATTACCAGCACCAAGCTGTTCACAATAAACCACAACACAAGTGAACTTCTGACCCTGGTGTGAACGTCAACCTATTACCAGCACCAAGCTGTTCACAATAAACACTACACAAGTAAACTTCTGACACTGGTGTGAACGTCAACCTATTACCAGCACCAAGCTGTTCACAATAAACACTACACAAGTAAACTTCTGACACTGGTGTGAACATCAACCTATTACCAGCACCAAGCTGTTCACAAGATGTCAAACTAGAATTCTGGCAGAGTACAGACATCATATGATTATTAAGAACCTGACACTTGCTAATTAGGAAAGTGTTTTGATCTTTTAAACCAGACTTTTATCTAAATTTTTTCACATTCACAAGATTAAGACATGCACCATACCAAAGTGATACAAAATGGCTGTTAAACAATTTGGTAGCAAGTTCTTGATCTAATTAATTTGCTTAACAAGCCATCTTATTTTTGAACCGTATTTTCTGAATTATAAGCTGCAATTAAAAAGAATTTGTGAGAATGGAAAACAAATCAAACAAAAGAAGAAAAAACTGCAACATACACTGACTATAAACATTAATTTTAAAACACTTTAAGAAGCATTTATATAAAAAAAAATTTGTAGCATTCCAGTACTGTGCATTTTACAAGACCCGCCAATCACATGGTTGTGACTGAAACAGTATATGTAGAACCATCACTTGTAATCATACACAGGGTAATTTAAAAATTACAATAAAAATAAAGTCCTCGTTGATTTAATCAACTATACCTTTAAATATGAATCCCAATAATATTGTCACATACGAATTATGAGCTTATATACCGGCTGGTTGTAAGTATGTTGAATTTATATTTTATTGTTTGAATTTTGCGCCTTAATCTCCTGCGAAACTTTTAAAAGTTATCGCGCATGGGCAAAGGACGACGGGTAAGGTATTCGGGCGGACATCTTGATGTGTTGACAGGTGTGAAACATCGGGAAAGCTTTGGGAGCGTGAAATACAGCCACGGTAAGTTATATCATGTTTATTAAGAATATAGAAGTTGTGTATGATAGCGTCCGTGAACGTATAGGTGTATTAGCCCGTGCGTAGCGAGTTATATCAGTATACAGGTAAAGGGTGAGCGAACGCGTTATCGAGAGCGGTGATGTGTATTGCCGTGTTTACTTAAGATAGATTACAGTAATAGAAATAAATATAATCATTTCTTTATTAGTTATAATGTGTAGAATATAGCCTTATAGGGCATTATTTGTATATTGTAGCTCCATGTCATGCCCGAACCATATCATGAGCTGACGGCGAAATTTCATGTATGGAAGCCCGTAACAGCCATATGATTGTTACCAGAATGGACACTTCGTTGTCTTGTTGTTGATTATTCCTGTCGTTGTTGTACTGCATTCGGTTGAGCGATGCAGGAGTGTTGTGTTGACATGTTTTTGCGGTCATATTGAACGCTATTAGTGCATGGATGCTATGGAGGCCCAGCTGCGTGTTGTGGCGATATTATGGTCAATTCTTTAGTGATCTTCAGTGATCTTTTGGTGAGATCGTCTCCATTTGTCTGATGACTTCATATACCTCGTACTACGAGATTGTGTTTTCATTTGGTGGAACTGTGCCATATACGGTCCTGTGCTACAGTCAGGAGATATGGACACTTACAGTCACTCTATGGAATGACGGAGGAGGCATCTCTACGTCAGGATCTACAAACTTTGTTGTGTGGGCTATGCAGGGGAACCAGTCGCCGGATAGTGCTCATATATGAACTGTAGGGTGTATATGGTGTATATAGGATGTGAATACCAGGAGTAGGTTAGGGTTTATAGTTGATAGGTTTAGGTAGTAGTTATTTCTGTGTAGCATCTTCATAATAGTGTGTAGACTGGTGGGAAATATCATTATTGGCAGTATGAATCTGTGGAGTGAGAGATTTCATCATGTTAGGTATGCCATATGTACATTTTGGACAGTAGTTTTGTAAATTGTAATAAATGTAAATAGTGTAAACTGTTGTTCTCTCTTGTGTTGCAATCCATCGTCTCAGTTAGGTTACAAATATGTTTGATTTAAGAAGGCATGGCAGAAGTTAATAATAGACTATTGCATCTAGGGATTGATAGGTCATCAGGTGATGAGGAAAAATTCTAGACCAGCAGCCATGTTCGTTTACAATATGAATGGCTTTGATGCAATTAACTTTCAAGAAAAAATATTATGGAATTATGTGAACTTAGTCAGCATGCATGGGCCTTCATTAATATTTAGCAGTACAGACCCTGCTGGAAACTTTGTTCGGTAAATTCATAATTCATTTGAATACTTTAATAAATGTTTCACTAATGATCTTGATAAATTGCCTGCTGCTGTCTGTTATATCGATCAACATAGGTCAACATAGTGGTTACCATTGTACAAAAATTGTGCGGTTTATATTTCTACATGGATTACGTAAAAATCAAACAGGAAGATTGGCTCTGTTGCCTATATACCAGTGTGACTTTATGATTAACCCAGAAAAGATATTGTAATCTGTACTGACAGTTAAAGTTTTGTTTGAGAACACCTGGCACAGGTAGGTGACCTAATCTCTATTTTTGACTGTCACTGATAGGTAAAACATGCCTGTAACTGGTAGAAACGGCAACATAGGGGTACCTCAGGTGATATCTAGTAGATAATCAGTGTCACAAGTAACAGCCCAGGTATTAGATATAGACATTTGTTTTGCATTATAATTTATCAAAATCAATTCTGAGCAGAATGAAATAACAACTGATGTTTCTTGTTGGACTATATCATAACAAACATTTATCTTTACTTACATAAGGAATATTAGGTACACGAAAAAATATCATTAGTGGATATCATGACATCCAATATCATAATAACTGGTATCTACTCTATCTGGTACAGTAAGGATAACCTTGATCAGTTGAAGGTCACAGTGACTTAAATTACACTTTTTTTTTCAACACAATATCATGACAGAACAGAGAGTGATAACTTAAAAACATTGGAATGAAAAGTTGTACTTACAGAACCTTTAACTTTGAGTGTCTAGTCACTGTGACTTATCATTTGTTTAATGCAAAGCACATGTAAGCATTTGACATCAGCTAAAAAGCTATAACAGAGACCAGAATGTCCTGGAAAATTTTCACCTTGCTATCTGACCTTTGACCCTCAGAGATGAAGGTCACAGTGTCTTTTATATCAAGCACCGAGAACAGGGAAACAACTACAATACATTTAGGTTGTCCTTTAACAGACATGTTGGGCTTATTGTCAGCTGCATGAGAGATCCCGTCTTATAACTTCCCTTGAAAACTGAAGAAGTATTATGGATAATGTAATATACAAATCTGACCGATCCATAATGTATATGTAAAAGCTTGTCAGAGATCTGAAACTTTGAAAAATCAGTTGCTAGTGCTGTTTGTTATTGGATTCATAGTTACCATTTTGTCATTTCTGTGACACAATAAAAATATTTCTTCATCAGATATCTAGAGTATTTCTGAATACCTAGTAACAAGTATAATTACTTATATATCTGTCAACATGAATAATGTGTTCTTAGATCTGGACAATTTTTTTTAAAGAAACTTTCCTTTTTTCCCTGAATATACAATAGCTAGTTGACATAAAAATGGTGTAAATCTCTCTGTGTTTGAATGGATGAAATTGAACTAGCACAAAGGGAATCATACATAAAGCAATATTATAGTCAAATGCATGGGTATCAACATCTCCTAGTGTTTTTCTGTTCACGCCCATAAAACACCTCTTTATGTCTCCTAGAGCGGCCCACACAGAAACCTACAACGTTGATTGTTATTCACATGTCTGCATGCAACAAGCATTCTCCAACAGCAATAGGTAGTTTCACAACATCATTTGAAAATCAAAACTAAGACTTTTGAAATACTACCATCATCAAATGAAACTAAAAAATTTCAATGTAATATGAGTGTCATGTCTATGACATTTGACAAAATTGTAGTTTGTTCTACTGATTGCAACAACGTCACTTTGCCTGTGTATAACAAGACTGTTCAAAATTTTATTTCTATACAACCACTTGTACAAAAGCAGTACACCTTCAACACAATTCAAGACAAAAGCCATTATACATCTTCTCATACAGAACATAACAACATACATCTTCCCATACAGAGCATAACAACATACATCTTCTCATACAGAGCATAACAACATACATCTTCTCATACAGAGCATAACAACATACATCTTCCCATACAGGAAATAACAAGTGTACTTATACTGGACATAACAAGCATACAGTTTCTCATACAGGGCTTAACAATTAGTAAACATCTTTCTATACAAGACAAAGCAAGTGTACATCTTCCCATACAAGACATAACAAGAGATTCCAGAGGGATCTTGGCACCACCATTGTTTGATCTTTACATGCTCTTTGAAAGTTGAGTCTTTTTTCCTTCTTTTCACTTCTCTTCTGTTTTTGCTCTTCATGATAAGACATTTGAACATTTCTTTGCAGAAATTGCGATGATAATTTTTACCTGCCAAATCCAAAATGGCAGTCTTGAAGCCTTTTTTTTCCTTCTCATCAGTCCCAAAATCAAATGAGCACAAGGCAAGACCAAAGGGGATCTACAGGCATGCATATTCCAATACAGGTTATCATGAGCATACATCTTCCCATACAGGGCATGGAGGTCCTAAGCATACATCTTCCCAAACACTTCTACTCCATACATGTAATTAAAGTAAACTGATATCATCTTACCTTCACCCTGAGCATCAAAGGAATCTTTCCGACTTGAGTTGGCGGCTCCCATATTGACTGCTTTTTCAGATATATGGATCAGTACACTGAGAAGAAGGGAATGATAGAAACGGCCCTATAGACTGGAATGAACTTCCACCCCATGGCTGGGTGGGGTTGTGGTCATGGTCTTCAGCACGTCCGCACCATCAATTCTGCAATGTACAATATAACAATAAGTATCTATATGTCATCATCATAGAAAGTCATTGCTACTGTATCAATTAAGGCCTAATGTAAGTGTGCAAATTAGTGTGTACTCTTATCTTGGTCTACAGAAAAATACTGGACTCATTGGAGTGGGCACTTAATAAGGACAGGAAGTTCTAATGAAAACTGAATAAGAATTTGTTAATGACGATGGACTCTATATGTATCACTCTATCATCTGAAATATACAATATCATTTCTGATTTCATAAATACCAGCCATTGAGAATATAGCACTAACATTTTAAATACACAGTAAAAAACTGACTTTGCAACATTAATTACAAAAATAACCACTATAAGATCTCCTTAATGTCAGAATGAAAGGGAAAGTCATCTGTGAACACTATCCCCAAACAACCTTAAAGCCTCACAATGTCAACATTGATGTCAAAGCAAAAAGCAATCAAAACAAAATCAAATTCTACAACGATGAATTTGTATAGTTTGCTAATTACATCACAATAATGTATTCATCTTTTCACAAAAGTATCAAAAAGAAATCGATATTTGAATTGATCTATTTATATCAGCTTAATTTTAAAGTGATATTTTAAATATTGATCATCAAGTACCATGGATTCATGGTGCCAGGTGTGACACAAAGATCTAAGTATGTATTAACCTTCTGTCTATTTCACACAAGGGAGCTTGTACATGTTCAGAATTATTAATTCATTGGCCCACCAATTTATCTGGTGGGAAACTCTGTACATATTCACACTACTGTAGCCCGATCAACACTGAATTTTAAAATTCGAAATTTTCACATTAAAAATTCATAAGCTTCAGTAAACTATAATCATCACTGTCAGTATCTCACTAATCACTGAACTGACAATGAAGCCTGTCCATTAACATTAAGAGTCACAGATTTCCTCTGGAGATATTGTACTAAGGGTGTTGGGGTATAAACCTTGGCATAAATAACCATTAACCAAAGATGATTTTCCATTTTTTGTTTCTTTAATTTGAAAATGTTGCTTTTGAAATGTTGCCTAATTTCACTTCCTGACAAGGTGAAAGAATTTTGAAGCAAGCACCTTGACATGATGAAAAACTGCTCGCTTGTTATTGGTTTGCTGTGGCCTTGTAATTTTTGTTTGCTATGACCTCAATGATAATGTGTGAAAATTTGCAGTAGCAATTTTTATCCTTCAGACTCAGAGGAGAAATGCAATCCTTAAATTTATGTGCAAATCTTGATGAAGAATGATAAATCTTTCCTGACATATTAGATTAAATCTAAATTACACTGCTATGAATGATGTGCTAATTTGGACCCCATCTGGTATTAAACTATTCATCAATTATAATCAAATTTCACAATATCTTGATCATAGAATGATATCCAAAATTTTATCTCATTCACACCAATAACTAGCCAAAGACTCATCTTTTTTACATTAATTCAAAATTCTATTAACATAAACTTGATGGTATGTCGGCTAACACCTTCAACACCACAAAAACACAAAATTAGGTTGGTAAGTTTTGATATAGGAAATCAACCTGGTGTTCTTTTTAACTGCTTAAAACAATGACGTTGATCATGAACAATGTTGACTGATGTTGTGATACAAAAGTTAATTGAAATTTAAGATAGTTACTTTAATATGTTATAAACAAGAGGCCTAATGGACCTGCATTGCTGGCTTGGAATTCTAAGTTTCTCATAAATACATTAATATTTCACATTACTAACAATCAATGACTTCATAAATAAGCAGTCATTTGTAAGTTTAACAAATTTGACCCTTGAGACCTTGAATCAAGTAAAGATTATTTATTTTCACAAATTTTGTCAGACATTGAACAAACCTACCAGGCAAATATCATGATTTTATGCCTTTTGATTAATCAAGATTTATTTGAAGTTTTCAATAAATTTGAATCCTGTGACATTAAATATAGTTGAAGGCCATTTTGTTCAAGAAACTTTGTTTGGCTTCATATCCACAGAACCTTTCAGCCAAATATCATGAATCAAGGTCTTTTGATTATTCAAGAAGTTGTTTGAAGTTTTCAACAAATTTCACCATTGTGATCTTAAGTATGGGCAAAGGTAATTTCTTTTTACAAACTTTGTCAGGCAATATCCCAGGAACTTGCAATCTAAATAGATGGCTGTCTGATTAATCGAAAGTAGTAGTTTGAAGGTTTTTAAAAAAAAACAACATATACAATGATGAGATTAAGATATTGGGGAATATGATTATCCCTCAGGTGTTTCTAACAATTCATAGAATTTTCCCATTTCACAGAATACCAAGCTTAGAAAATATAGCATAATGTACAATATACTATATAATCTTAAAACACATTCTCAAATTACTAAGACAAATCTATATCTAGTATGTATATCTTTTTAACAATTCCAAACCAGTCTTTCCTGAAAAAGTAGAATGATAAAAAGACATCTTCAAAAGTGTCATCAGAAAAATGAAACATTTCGCCTAAGCTTGGAAATCAATTTTTTAAATATTTCCAACTGAAGCAATTTCATTATTACAAATAGAAATTTTGTTATGTTAAGAGTTTAATCAAGATAAATTGAAAATTAAAAACAGGACCTGAAACCTGATGACAGCATCATATGGATTTCATTTCTAGGTAACCTCTGTGAACTTGTTGAATTAATCTTTAATAATCAATTTCTTAAAGAAAATGTTGTAAGGGAAAAAATGATTTCATCATTTCTCAAACCAGTAAAACAACAACCTTAAAACAGATCTAAAGTGTTACAGCATAATAACAAAATTACAGAACAAGTAGTAAAACTTCAAAACAACATGCAGTGGCAATTTGCTGAACATAATGTGACACTATCACAGAATGCAGTGACACTAACACAGAATGTAATGACACTAACACAGACCATGTAGTGATACTAACACAGACCATGTAGTGATACTAACACAGACCATGTAGTGATACTAACACAGACCATGTAGTGATACTAACACAGACTGTGGTAACACTAACACAGAACATGTAGTGACACTAACACAGAACATGTAGTGACACTAACACAGACCATGTAGTGATACTAACACAGAATGTAGTGATACTAACACAGACTGTGGTAACACTAACACAGACCATGTAGTGATACTAACACAGAACATGTAGTGACACTAACACAGAACATGTAGTGACACTAACACAGACCATGTAGTGATACTAACACAAACCATATAGTGACACTAACACAGACCATGTAGTGACACTAACACAGAATGTAATGACACTAACACAGACCATGTAGTGACACTAACACAGAATGTAATGACACTAACACAGACCATGTAGTGACACTAACAAAGAACATGTAGTGACACTAACACAGACCATGCAGTGACACTAACACAGACCATGTAGTGATACTAACACAGACCATTTAGTGATACTAACACAGAACATGCAGTGACATTAACACAGAACATGTAGTGACACTAACAGACCATGTAGTAACACTAACACAGACAATGTGGTAACACTAACACGGAACATGTAGTGACACTAACACAGAATGTAGTGACATTAATACAGACCATGTAGTGACACTAACATAGAACATGTAGTGATACTAACACAGAATGTAGTGATACTAACACAGACTGTGGTAACACTAACACAGACCATGTAGTGACACTAACACAGACCATGTAGTGACACTAACACAGAACATGTAGTGACACTAACACAGAACATGTAGTGACACTAACACAGAACATGTAGTGACACTAACACAGACCATGTAGTGACACTAACACAGACCATGTAGTGATACTAACACAGAACATGTAGTGATACTGAACTAACACAGACATGTAGTGACACTAACAAAACCATGTAGTGACACTAACACAGACCATGTAGTGACACTAACACAGACCATGTAGTGACACTAACAGACCATTTAGTGATACTAACAGAACATGTAGTGACATTAACACAGAACATGTAATGTAACAGTGTAACACTAACACAGACAATGTGGTAACACTAACACGGAACATGTAGTGACACTAACACAGAATGTAGTGACATTAATGACCATGTAGTGACACTAACATAGAACATTTAGTGATACTAACACAGAATTTAGTGATACAAACACAGACTGTTGTAACACTAACACAGACAATGTAGTTACACTAACACAGACCATGTAGTGACACTAACACAGACCATGTAGTGACACTAACACAGACCATGTAGTGAAACTAACACAGACCATGTAGTGACACTAACACAGAACATGTAGTGACACTAACACAGACCCTGTAGTGACACTAACACAGAACATGTAGTGACACTAACACAGACCATGTAGTGACACTAACACAGACCATGTAGTAACACTAACACAGACCATGTAGTGACACTAACACAGACCATGTAGTGACACTAACACAGACCATGTAGTGACACTAACACAGACCATGTAGTGAGTAACACTAACACAGACCATGTAGTGACACTAACAACATGTAGTGACACTAACACAGACAATGTAGTGACACTAACACAGACCATGTAGTGATACTAACACAGACCATGTAGTGACACTAACACAGACCATGTAGTGACACTAACACAGAACATGTAGTGACACTAACACAGAACATGTAGTGACACTAACACAGACCATGTAGTGACACTAACACAGACCATGTAGTGATACTAACACAGAACATGTAGTGACACTAATACAGAATGTAATGACACTAACACAGACCATGTAGTGACACTAACAAAGACCATGTAGTGACACTAACACAGAACATGCAGTGACATTAACACAGAACATGTAATGACACTAACAGACCATGTAGTAACACTAACACAGACAATGTGGTAACACTAACACGGAACATGTAGTGACACTAACACAGAATGTAGTGACATTAATACAGACCATGTAGTGACACTAACATAGAACATGTAGTGATACTAACACAGAATGTAGTGATACAAACACAGACTGTGGTAACACTAACACAGACCATGTAGTGACACTAACACAGACCATGTAGTGACACTAACACAGACCATGTAGTGACACTAACACAGAACATGTAGTGATACTAACACAGACCATGTAGTGACACTAACACAGACCATGTAGTGACACTAACACAGACCATGTGGTGATACTAACACAGAACATGTAGTGACACTAACACAGAACATGTAGTGACACTAACACAGAACATGTAGTGACACTAACACAGACCATGTAGTGATACTAACACAGAACATGTAGTGACACTAATACAGACCATCTAGTGACACTAACACAGACCATGTAGTGACACTAACACAGAACATGTAGTGACACTAATACAGAACATGTAGTGACACTAACACAGACCATGTAGTAACACTAACACAGACCATGTAGTGACACTAACACAGACCATGTAGTAACACTAACACAGACCATGTAGTAACACTAACACAGACCATGTAGTGACACTAACACAGACCATGTAGTGACACTAACACAGACCATGTAGTAACACTAACACAGACCATGTAGTGACACTAACACAGACCATGTAGTAACACTAACACAGACCATGTAGTGACACTAACACAGACCATGTAGTGACACTAACACAGACCATGTAGTGACACTAACACAGACCATGTAGTGATACTAACACAGACCATGTAGTGACACTAACACAGACCATGTAGTGATACTAACACAGACCATGTAGTGACACTAACACAGACCATGTAGTGACACTAACACAGAACATGTAGTGACACTAACACAGACCATGTAGTGACACTAACACAGACCATGTAGTGACACTAACACAGACCATGTAGTAACACAGAATTTCTCTTGTACAGTTTAGTCTTGTACTCATATATGCATAAAGTAAAGTAACCTTAATCAACTGTTCACATAATGTCTCAAAATAAATTTCTCTTAGTAAATTTGATTTGTTTTGAATTGCACACAGGAAAACTAATTTATGGTGAATCGGTCTACAGTGGACCATCAAATCCCGGCTATCCACCTGTACCAAATCTGCAGCGTTTGTAAAGAGTAATCTGGGTAAATGTAGCCATAATCTGACTTGGCCGGAATCCTTTGGGATCAGTGTTTATCGTGTTTCTGACCTTATGCAGATGTCTTTCTGGATGTAATTCAATTGTTACTGTTAAGCGTATCATGTCTGATCAAGTGCTCTAACATGTGCACAGTGTATTTCAAACCTGACGTTGGTTATTTTAACACTCCTACGCATGGCATTGATGAAAACTCCAGAACATCAACAATGTGAGAGATAAAAGAAGAAGGCCACACCTAAAAGTAAAGTAAAAGGCTGAACAGCCAACCCCTTAAAGAGAAAAAAGAAACATTTATTTGTTCTTTCCCCTTCCTTTCTATTTTTCCCTCTTTTCACTCTTGATCATATGAAATTTTAACATTTGTTTCAAGAAATAGCAATAATAATTATTAACTGTCAAGTCCAAGATGGTTGCCTGTCTCAACCACACCAAATAAAAAGAACGCAACTACAGACCAAGGGGAACCAACATACGAAATCTGGATAAAAATCCATCCTATAGTGATAACACACTTTCATTGTCAAATACAGCCTTTTCGTTACATGTTCACAGTATTAGAGACCCATGTAACACTGATTTGATTCACAAAAAGCTTTAACAATAACAGCGTATATTGGATATGAGGCTGTGATGAAATCGCTATCTCCTGATATGTACACCCACACATTAGATCCTAAAACAGCTATGCATTAACACCTATATACAAATTATTTGACACATAAATCCAAAATTTAGGTGAATCATGGTGTAACTTTAAAAATCCCTACATAATTCAGGCAGCATTAGCTGAAAGGATTTACATCAGGATTACACAGTGAAACCTGATCCATTTTACTCTCACTGGTAACAGAGGTGGTACACAGAGGTCACATCCACCCACTGGTACACAGAGGTCACATACACCCACTGGTACACAGAGGTCACATACATCAAGTTGTACACAGACGTCACATACACCCACTAGTATACAGAGGTCACACTCATCCACTGGTATACAGAAGTCACATACACACATTGGTACACTGAGGTCAGATATCCACTGGTATGTAGATGTCATAAACACCCATTGGGACATTGGTCACCTTTATACATAAGGGTTAGAAGTTAATTTGTATGAAGATCGGCATACATTCTAAATTACTTAAAATTAACGTTGTATTAATGAAATATGCTCAAGTTGATACAGTAGCAGTATAATGTTATTCAATTAAAACAAGACACCTGTTGCAAATTTCAAATCTTATATATAATACAACAAAAAAGTTTCTTTAATGTAATTGACTGGTTTAATTTGGCAAGCTTAAAATGCAGGCAGCTAGAATTTAGATATACCATATGGCATCTTAATTCCTATCATGAGGCATGCTATCACACAAGTACCATGACCTAGGACCTTCTTGAAAGAGGAAATTTTAAGGTCCCATCACACTTGACCCCTTGACCTTAAAAGTGGGTCAAGGTCAATCATCTGAATACAGTTGGTACCCATTCATCCAAATATAGAATTGAACCAATATCAGACTCCTTGGCCTTTAGTTATAAAGAAGAAGTTTTTTAAAGATTTGAACAAATTTGAACCCTGTAAACTTGAAAGTTGGTCAAGGTCATTCATTTGAACAAACTTAATAGACCTTCAGGCCAGCATGCTACAGGCTACATCTATGACCCAGTTTGACTGTAAAAGTGAGTCTGGGTCAATTTAATTAAGCAAGCTTGTTATTAAAATGTAGTCATTTGAATGGGAAGTTTACAACCTGCACACTGTGGGGAACTAAACACTAAAACAAATATGAAATAGAGAGTTAAAGCAATTGTTCAATCATAGGAGAACCACTCAATATATGTATTCATCAGAAAAAAGAAAATTTGCCACCATGCTGAAAATAATTTCAATACAAGTCATTGTACTCAAACTTTTAACATATATATTATTATACCATACATAATACATCATCGTTATTATATCATGATTTACATACAATAAATAAATCTTAAATACAAACTTTACCATATCACAAATGTGTACATACAGCAACATACAAGGACATGAGAAACAGTTTTATCTTCACATAAAATGTCATCATGTCTTACTTGATTCATCTAATGAATATTCACTTAAAAAAATGGCACAAAGTCCTTGTACTTAATTGTCTTCTTCCAATATTACACCTTCATTGTGGAAGTCCTTCATATAACATTCTAGAAAGGTGGTGAGTGTGAAACCAACAAAACAGGAAAGAGTACACCAGCACTATGTGACATATACTTTCGTAATAATGTCAATCTGTGGTGCGGAAACAAACACCATACCACTAAAACTCTGCAGGACAGTTATCTATGTGCCAAATTAGTACTCCTGTAATTAAATTTGGAATGTAAGTCTCTAAATAACAATTTCATCTTCTGTTGCCTCCAGAGCAAACATCCTGGTGACTAGGACATCAATACAAATTTTGGAAACATTCCATACTTCAAGGAGAGGAGAGTTCCCATACTTCTATAGTTAGTTCTACTTCTAGTTAGTTCTACTGTGTTTATTTTTCTATTTAATTGAGATTGGTGAAAGCTCACATATAAAAACCCTAAAAAAATACACCATTACTCACGTGATTTCATCTTTAACAGATTAATCAATCAATTAATTAGTGGCCTAATCGTAATACTGTTTTCAAAATGATTAACTAATTAATTAGTGGCCTATAATAATAATACTGTTTTCAAACTGATTAATTAATTAATGGCCTAATAGTAACACAGTTTTCAAACTGATTAATCAATTAATTGATTAGTGGCATAATAATAATACAGTTTTCAAACTGATTAATCAATTAGTTAATCAGTGGCCTAATAGTAGTAATAATATGAAATAGGAACTGCCTAAATGCAAATGCAAGTTGGTCAACAAGATGCACATTTTGAACTGCCTGATCTATGTCCGCAATGAAGCAGGTTTTTAAAATTTGTTTTATATTTCGCAAGATTTTAACAAAAAATCGGCACATTCAGATGTACCTATGCATCATCATCATCATCATCATCATCATCATCATCATCATCATCTTCTTCTTCTTCTTCTTCTTCTAGAAAACTATGCCTCATCATAATCAGGTGTTGGTTTGGTGACGAAGCTGTAATACACTTGTCTTTCTCCTAGCCGTCCATTTTTTTTATTCCCTGAAGGGATACAAGTCTCCTCCCACAGTTAGACCCCTAACATGCTTACAAGTGTGATTTTTTTCATAAGTTGAAATAATAAAGTTTCCATATGTAAATAAGTCATGCACATACAATCATACAACATAAAGAAAGGCAAAGAAGAACAAAACAAAGACAACAAGATAACACAAAGTGTGACATTATCTCTGTGCCCCACTGTTTAAAAGAAAGACACTCAATAATATATATATATAAATAATTTGTTATCTTTAATTGTTCCACACAAAGTATTGAAATTTAGAACTTTTACTAGTTCTTCTACTTGAATACTAGCTTAATGCCTGTACAAAGTTTTGAGTAACAGGTTAACAAAACTGGTCTGAAAAAAAATGACCTTTAGAATTGTATCCGAAAAATTTAGTATTATATTCTAAACCTTTAATATAGTATCCTTCACCATTATTACTGAATCCTTAAAATATAGAAAGGTATCCTTGACTTTTACAAAGGTATCATATAGTGTTTATACGGTGTTTTATCATTCACCTTTGGTGTTGTATCTTTCACCTTTAGTGTTGTATCATTCACCTTTAGTGTTGTATCCTTCACCTTTAATTTTGTATCCTTCACCTTTAGTGTTTTATCCTTCACCTTTAGTGTGGTATCCTTCACCTTTAGTGTTGTATCCTTCACCTTTAGTGTTTTATCCTACACCTTAAGTGTTGTATCCTTCACCTTTAGTGTTGTATCCTACACATTTAGTAATGTATCCTTTACCTTTAGTGTTGTATCCTACATCTTAGTGTTGTATCCTTCTCCTTTATTATTGTATCCTACATCTAAGTGTTGTATCATTCACCTTTAGTGTTGTATTCTTCACCTTTAGTGTTTTATCCTACACCTGTAATGTTGTATCCTTCACCTTTAGTGTTGTATCCTTCACCTTTGGTGCTGTATCCTACACCTTTAGTGTTGTATCCTACACCTTTAGTGTTGTATCCTTCACCTTTAGTGTTGTATCCTTCACCTTTAGTTTCGTATCCTTCACCTTTAGTGTTGTATCTTACACCTTTAGTGTTGTATCCTTCACCTTTAGTGTGGTATCCTTCACCTTTGGTGCTGTATCCTACTCCTTAAGTGTTGTATCCTACACCTTTAGTGTTGTATCCTACACCTTTAGTGTTGTATCATTCACCTTTAGTGTTGTATCCTTCACCTTTAGTTTCGTATCCTTCACCTTTAGTGTTGTATCTTACACCTTTAGTGTTGTATCCTTCACCTTTAGTGTGGTATCCTTCACCTTTGGTGCTGTATCCTACTCCTTAAGTGTTGTATCCTACACCTTTAGTGTTTTATCCTTCACCTTTAGTGTTGTATCCTACATCTAAGTGTTGTATCATTCACCTTTAGTGTTTTATCCTACACCTTTAGTGTTGTATCCTTCACCGTTAGTGTTGTATCCTTCACCTTTAGTGTTGTATCTTACACCTTTAGTGTTGTATCTTTCACCTTTAGTGTTGTATCATTCACCTTTAGTGTTGTATCATTCACCTTTAGTGTTGTGTCCAAAAGCAGTAGCTTTGATTCAAATTACATGGTCATTTAACATATATCATTATTATATAGGTACATCTATGATTAATCAAGTTGGACAGCTACATTTACCAAGAAATTAGATTGAGAATATAATTATCTGAAATAAAGAAGTTATATTACCAAATATAAGATATTTCAGAGAAGAGTCCAATGCTGTAGGATGTCCCTGAGCCACATATATAAGTAACACAGTCAATACTACATTGCCACAATAAGTGGGTGGAACTAGTTGTCTCGTGGTTGGCTATGAAAGTGACAGACATGGAAATAGCTAACACTGAAACAAACCACTGTGGGTAATTTTCATGAAGCTTTTACATGACAAGTACAAATAATGTACAATTTCATTGGCAGTTTGTATTTAAAAGTCTCACATGAATGGCAAAATAACTGATGAAGATCTAAATAATGTTGTCAGTTCAGAGTGAAAAATATTATGAAATGGAAATTTAATGACCCACTATCACACAAAGGAAATATTTTACAAAGAGCTACTATCAGAATTTCAGCTGTAGATACATAAAGCTTCGAAGATTTATACCAGAATATCAGATAGATTCAGCATTAAAAATCAAGTGCAATAGTGGTAACAACACAATAAAGTAATCACAGATACTTATTAACAACATAAACAATGAAACTCCCTGAAGAATCCATTGATAAAAAGGAACTCTCCAATATAGCACGTATTAATGAAACCAAAGGTAAAGAATACACTTACACAGCTGATGGTCAAAGCCTCCTCCATTAAAGAAAATTTGTTTTTCTTTTAATTTCCACACTTTCAATCCAGATCAACTGTCTAAAGTAGGTTCAGGGATTTGATACACATACTACAACCATTACGATCATCAAACAAAAATATCCATGCATTTTAAAGTGACGTTACTTAAAAGGATAAATATTGGGGAAAATTTCACTATGTATGTTATATCATAGCTAGCGAAGGTGAATTTCGAGGTCTGCATTTTTGGATCTGGATGAAAGAACAAATCAAATCACACCAATATATACCAGCTGGGTCTGTCTGCAGAAAAAAACTAAAAATTTTGTTGAAATTGTGTGGTTTGTTCTCCAGAATCAATAATCTTTTGAGGAAGGCGGTCCCAACTATTTATGGCATCAATTGAATACTTGATTTCACTGTAAATGCCATTTTATATTTAACAGGATAAAGTGGCATGGTTATTTATGAATCAAGTTTGTTTGAATTTTGTCAACAAACACGCCTCAAACCTATAAATATGATGATTATCTATAAAGATATAACAAAAGAGTTGTGACACATAAGTATAGCATAAACACACCAGTCCTTTGGACCAGGTGAGCTAAACACAAAAAACACTTTATAAGTGCTTTGGGGAGTTTGAGTTTTAAAGGCCATAAGAAAAACTACTAGTGAGTTATGTTGCCAGAACTTCATATCAAAAGAACATTTTGAAAGTTAATGGTCATGATATATAGAGACAGCAATTATGGCATAGCATGGTCTAGTCTTTTACAAAAGTCAGTTTCAGTGCACTAGTTATAATGCCAAAACCTGAAATGTTACAAGCTGCATTGTTTTCACTTACCAGTTAGGTGAACATGAGATATTATCTTACAATGTAAGCAAGTGGAAAACACCCCTTGTACCAATGATCTAATTTGTATGTAAGCAGTATGTCCGAGTGACCCTTGAATGGGTAAATTTAAGATTTTCAGCATCAATTTACACACAATTGTTTTGATGACGTAACCAAGAGGAACAACCAACTACCTATATGTAGCAAATGACCGATACCTGGCAACATATTATTAAACATAGTTCGTTTCTTCGGGTGACAAAAAATTTGGTAGCAAGTGCTTTTAAAACATTGAACATTTGTATGACCAAATATGGTAGTAATTAATTACACAACTGCTGTTATGTAGTAAACATGTATTTTTATTTCAATTATTTTTTGTGGAAGTTGCAAGAAAGGTATGAATAATAAGAAGATGAGTAATTAAGAAACAATTAGGTTTCAATTACACAGATAATTACTCTCCTTCTAAATTGTAGCATACTAATGAGCTAGGGTGGTAAGATGATCAGATAATAAAACCTGAGAAGAGAAGAATTCCTAATTACTCCCAACAAGATCTATCTTTTTATTAACAACATGCAAAAAAGATACAAGGAGTTATTCTGATTAAACATTGAAGACTGTCATCTCTCCTGATTTTAAAATTCATAAATACAGTGAATACTGGTAAGTCCAAAACCTCTATTCCTAACCCAATCACTCAGACTATCAATTTTTAAGATTGGTCAAATGATTTAATTTTGTCAAATGGAATTACATTCCATGTTTATATGTAATTAAAATGATGTCTCATTGATGCAGTCATGTTATTATGATGTTTATTCTGAT